TTTTTTTATTTATATAGATTTTTTTTTACACTTATTGTTATTGCTATTACATAGGGGGATACAATCCCCCTATATAATAGCACAGGTACACTGACAGGTCCTCTTTATGGAGACATTAGGGGTCTCTAGACCCCTAATGTCACCTGGAGACCCCAAAAAAAGCTGATGAAGCACTGATTTGCTTCATCAGCTTCTTCTCTCTGGCAGTAGGAGCCAGATGACTGCGGAAGTGATGTAATACACATCACTTCTGCATTCACACTACAGAGGGAGATCAGCAAGGAGCTGATCTCCCTCCCTCCTCCTCCTGATGCCCTCCCGATTCGGTCCCGGGCCGCAGATGGGCTAGCGGATCCCGGGATTAAAGGTGAGGGGTCAGGAGGGGGAAGATGGCGGCCACTGATCGGTTGTATGTGAAACAGCCGTTAACGGCTGTAGAAACGAGCGGGCCTGTCCTGCCCATGCGCGCGAGCAGGAAAAAAATGCTGTCTGGAGACGGCAACCCGCTGATGCGAGTCTGCCGTCCGTCCGTTTTTTCTTAACGGGCTGGCGGCAAGAGGTTAAGGGGAACCCCCAGGCATGATATTTAAAGGAATTTCGTATTTTTATTGTTTTACTTTAAGCAATGTTAAAATCACTGCTCCTTTTAAAAAGTGTTTTTTGCATTGATACATGTCCTCCAGGGCAGTACCCAGACCCCATACCTTTTTATGGCCAATAACTTGCATATAAGCCTTCTAAATGGGGACATTTGATTTTACGAGTTCTGGTTCCATAGACTTTCACTGAGTTCCAAGTTTGAGTTAGAACTTTTTCCCTGTTCTAAAGTTCGAGTTAGAACCAAACTCAGGTGTGTTCAGCCCATCATGAACTGAGAGTACTTAAGGTCAGTGTGCGCTGATGCATATCTTTTAAAACATGCATCAACCCTTTATAGTTTTAGGTTACCTTTAATGGCCTCTACAAAGGATTCCTGCAATATTGTCTCAGATTCCTGCAATTTTGACTTAGATGAGTCCTGCGATGTTTTCGTAGATGATGACGCAACTTGGGAGGCTGATACTGTTGATGAGGAAGATCTGGATTCAGTCACTATGGATGAGCTCTGAGAAGAGAACTGACTGTGGGATGAAATGTTCATGTTCAATGCACCAATAAAGCCGTTAAAAGGTTAATAAATCTACAAGGTTTATGACAATTAGGTCATGCCTGTTTCAAATACATACTATTGTTGGTAGCTAGCTATTCCCAGATGCATGCTATATACAGTAGGATTAGAAACACTGGGTCATACTATGGTGTTATTATATACTGTAGTGAACACAAAGAGACTTCCCAAAAGGTTGGTTTGTGCAATTTCAATATTAATAAGAAGAATGTTACTGGAGCCACCGTAGTTATTTTCGCTGTCCCAGGCATGTCTCCTTTATCTATGCTGTTCTTATATGCCATGTACCACAACATAGACATTCCAATTGTTAGGGTCATCTTCAGTGTAAAGAGTAGTGTCTAGGTTTAATTCGCCAAGGGTTTGGGAATCTTGATGAAAATTGTGAGATTCCGAACTTAGAGGTGAATCCCACTGAATCCAATAGGGGACAGATCATGTTAAAAGAGAAATATGGCCCAACCTTTTTTTGCCATAGTTATCTTTATGGTCACAGGTGGATTTATACTAATGTCCTCCTGTAACCCAAAACTCAGCATATAATATTGTCAGGATCTCCCCCTGCTGCCTGATTGACAGCTGGCTCTGCCTCTCTAGAGGCAGTGTGTGCTGTTCCCGCCTCCTCCCTCCAGTCAGCGCTGAAGGAATAGAGAGAGGGGGGAATCATGTGGGGAGCAGTGATTGGCAGTCCCCGCTCTCTGCAGGGAGAATATCTGGAACTAAGCGATCAGTGGTATGCGATCTCTCCATTCTCGATTAATAGAGCCGATGTGTGACAGCTTCAGTGTCACACGTCGGCTCTAATGATGGAGATGAGTGTATTCCACTCTTCTCATTATTGTCCTTTAAATTCTGGCCATTTTTAAGGTTAATAGGCAAACAACTGTAAACAAAGGTATGGGAAGCTGGACACTGCTATGAGGGGACATGCATCAATGCAACTCATTAAAAAAAATACCATCTAGCAGCAAGAGGGTGTTTTCATGTAGTTTTGAGGGCAACATTGAAAGTACTTAAATCCTTTAAAAAAACATGCTTGGGGGATGTCTTAAAGCTATAGGAGATGTTTTAGTATACGAACAGACCACACTATCCAGAGAATTCCAATACTTCCGACTTTATTGAAATTCACAGCAAATCCAGTTTAACAGTGAATAAAAGTGTATAAAGCAACAAATACCAGCAGTGCACACCCCCAACCAGCTACAACCTCTCACATGTTTCACTAGTAGACCTATTCATAGACCTCTAAGCTTACGGGTGAGACATGTGAGAGGTTGTAGCTGGTTGGGGGTGTGCAGTGCTGGTATATGTTTCTTTAAACACTTTTATTCACTGTTATACTGGATTTACTGTGAATTTCAATAAAGTCTGAAGTATTGGAATTCTCTGGATAGTGCGGTCTGTTCGTATACTACTACATTCCAAGGTGGAGAAGCACCTATTGGACCAGCACCTGGGGAGTCCTGATGGCGGCTAAGGAATTGGAGCGGTGAGATTTCCTTTGGCTCTATTTACCGTATTTTGCCCTCCATAAGGCGCACCGGACCATAGGACGCAGGGGTTCTGTGACAGCAGCTGCAGTTAGTGACAGCTGAGACAGGTGGCTCTGTGATTACAGCGCCACCTGTCTCAGTGATCACACAGAGCAGACGAAGAACGGACGTTCTTCGTCTGCTCTAGGGGCTCCATGGTGAGCTCCTATGCCGTGGTCATGGGTACCCCAGAGGAGTGGGGGACCCCCGAAAAACCACCACGGGGGCCACGGACACAATCGCTCCGCCGCTCGATTTGATACAAGTGATCTGATTAGATCACTTATATTAAACTAGCGGCGGCCCCACGATGTACATTTAGCTCTGCTTGTCCGGAGCAGGGCTGAATGTACAAACAAACTACTCACACGACACCCGAAACTGCATGTCCCGGGCGTCGGGCGATAGTGATTCTCTCCATTAGACGCACAGACATTTTTGCCTGTTGGGGGGGGGAGTGCGTCTTATTGAGCAAAAAATACCAATATATAGGAGATGTGTTGTTATGGAACAGTATGAATATCTTTTTGTCATATGTTAATACGCCCCCTTTGACTGGCAGATAGACATTGGCCAGTAGTACCCACTGTGGCTACCCTTGTTTTCGCTGATGCAAAACTGCTGCTGGCATATTTCTATCAAACTCTTATTAAAAATTGAGAGATGGCAGATGATACAGCAGTGTAAAATTGGCCAGCAGCAGATTTTGAATAAGGGAGAATTGGCCAAACTACTAGAGAAAGAAAAAGTGTTTTACTAAAAACTTTAAATGACAGCAAAAGGTACAGCAGTGTAAAATTGGCCGGCAGGACGACAGTTTTAAATAGTAAGGCGAAGCCCAAGTTTAGGTACAGTGAGCACATAATGGGGTTATACTACAAAAAAGAAGGAAATGCGGAGGGTACAGCAGTGTAAAATTGGTTAGCAGCAGGACGGTTTTAATTAGGGATAATAGGTCTCACTGATGTATGCCTAATTTTTTTTTATCTTTGGGGATAGAAGGGTGTATTTCATGTAAAAGTGATATAATGCTGGTGGTTTAGGTGCATATTATTCTTCCATTTAGCTTTTCTTTCCTTTCAAATGATTCATGGTGTGTTGTGAATCAAAAAGAAGGCCTTAAGAATAGATGGTTAATAGCAAGTGCTTTAAGAACCCCAAACTTTTTTAAAATGTCCTATCAACATAAAATTTTAAAAAATCCAATAAGTTTTGAAAACACCAACATACCACTAGGGTTGGGCTAGATGTTCAAACCCGCGAACTGTCAGGGTGTTCTGCTGGCTGTTCGCCCGCCGAGCACCCCGCACAAGGCACTGTGCAGGTCAGGTGCAAGCCTTTGCCCATTTTTTAATTATTATTTCTATTTATTTTTTATTGTTTTATTTTTCATTTTGTCAAGTCACGTTGTTATGGACAACGCTGGACGTCGTGATTGACCCTAGATTACATCGGTGGATCATTTTTTTTGGCCTCTTTTGGAAAACTTTTATTTAACCCTTTCGTGAATGGGTAGAGGTACAAGTACCCCTTACTCATTCACAAGGGGGGGGCGCATCTGGTTGGTTACCCATTTATTAAAGGGGCACCCTGATGTGAATAAGCCCTCTGCCCGCACCCCCACAGCCAACGTCCCCAGGACTTGTGGGGAAGAGGCCCTTGTCCCCATCGGCAAGGGGCGACACTGGAAAAGCACCCTCCCAGTGCCAAGGGCATTTTGCCTTGTATGGGAGGGAAGAGGGCCCCTCGCTGGTCCCCCCCCCCCTTTGGCCCTGACAGGCCTATGCTCGGATCAAAGGTCTGGTATGGAATTTTAAGGGGACCCCACTTTTTTTTCCTCCCATTTTTGGGGGTGGGGTTCCTCCTTTAAAATTTCTACCAGACTTTAAGGGTCTGGTATGACTTTTAGGGAGAACCCCACACTTTTTTTTAATGGGGTCCCTTCTAGCAATTCTACCAGACCTAAAGGGTCTGGTATTATTTGGGAGGGGGAACTGCACGTTTAAAAAAAAAAAGTCTGTTTCTTTCTTTAGTTATGTCAGTTTTGCTGCAGCAGTTTCTATACATGATACAGATCTGCCACTTTACAGGCAGGTTAAGGGGGACCCCCCAGGCACAATATTTAAATACATTTTTCATTTTTATTGTTACCATCATTTACGTGATGTTAAATCACTGCTCCTTTAAAAACTGTATTTTTTAAAAGTTTTTTTTTCATTGATACATGTCCCCCAGGGCAGTACATGAATCCCCATACATGTATTATGGCCAATAACTTGCATATAAGCCCTCCTAAAGGTGACAATTGTTTTTGAAAGCTCTACCCCCATAGACTTGCATTGAGTTCAAGTTCGAATTCAAACTTTTTGGATGTTCTAAAGTTTGACTTCGAACCGAACTCAGGCCTGTTCGGCCCATCACTATACTGTATACCACCCCTGATATAAAAGCCCATTTTTTAAAGGGCAGATTTGCAGGAAAAAAAAAAGCTGTTTAACCCAAAACAAAGGCACTATCAACATTAAATAAAATGTATGTAACACCAAAATACCATCTCCAGAATTAACAGCCTATTTTGTTTTTTTTTAAAGGGAAGCCATTCAAAATGCAAAAATAAAAGTTTGCTATGAATGAGACAGTAGGTAAAACTGACTGCTGAGCTCAGATCAATCTTGCAATAAAATAAAAGCCAAAAAACCCTTAAAAGTAAGAGCTAAAAAAGGCAGCAAAGTGGTTGATTGCCCAAAGTGGCTAGCAAGCAGAATTAAAACGTATTTTCCTAACGAACGCTAATCTTTCCTGGTGCAGTTTATCAGCTTTCCCTATACTTTCCCTACAGCACTATGGTTGCTCTGTAGCCCACCCGCCACCAACCTTCCCAATTTGGCTTATCCAGAAGCCTCCTTATTATCCCTTCCAAGCTTGCTGGTCATAGTTCAAAGGCCATGCAATGGTTAGAAAAATATTCTCCTGGGCAAATTTTCACAAAATCTCATCAGGACCACAACTCTTGAGCCTGCAGGATTTTCATTACTGGCCCTAATGAATGATATCATACAATGTAATAATGGCCCATTTTTACAAATTTCCCAAATTTTGTTGAAGCAACACTGAATAGTGTTCTGATATCCTAACTATGAACTATAAAATAATTGTACAATGAGCGATCTGTTACTGATGATATCATGTGCTATCGCATAATATCAAGTAACATCAATATCTACTGACGTCAATAGTCTTAGACTATAGCAATACAACTTTCAGAGTTTCATAATATTTCAGTATCCCTTTGTTGATGGTATCACACAAAGTTTAAAACAGCAGCTTTTTTATTACATGCACTCACTCTATTTCTCCCTCCAGCAGACGGCGATACGTTTCAATCTCCATCTCCAGTCTGGTCTTGATATCGAGCAGTTCCCTGTATTCTGTGCTCTGGCGTTCCATGTCTGATCTGATCTGCATGAACTGCTCCTCTAGCCCACTGATGACTTGCTGGAGCTGCTGGAGCTGAGCACCAAAGCGGCCATCTATGTCAGCAAGGGTGTCTTCAAGAGATTTTTTCTGAAATTTGTTTATGAGAAAAATTTGTTAAACCACATTTTCTGATTGAAACAAATGTATTAGCCTTCAGTCAAAGCTGGCCAGGGTGAGTGAATGTGGTAGGGACATTAGGCTCTAGGCTTGGGGACATGGACTGATTTGAATGGTTCAGTGTTCTATGTAAAGTACTATGGAGTATATCTATGCCCACTGGTGATGTCACTGGTTGGCAGGAGCTGGGCGGGACACTGGCCAGAGCATCCCAGGTTGCTAAGAGCTGGCCAGGGAGATTCAGTCTCCTCTACCCACCTCCGGCTGCTCTGATTGCATGCACCACCAGCAACCCCCTGGCCCCAGGTGGCAAAAAGGCTAGGGACAACCCTGTGTGTGCCCCCCCAGAAAAGTAAAATAAATAGAGCTTAATAAGCTTAATAAGATGCAAAAGTTAGACGTTTTTCAACATGATGGAAAGTCTGTGTGACCAATTAAGGCCCTTCCCCTTTCCCCATATGAAAATAACCCTTTTCCTGCATATTCACAGGAACTTGACACCACACTAACAGGGAGAACATTTATATCCAGCAGTCTCAGAGATTCCAGGTGAATCTAAATATCTATTTGGATATGAGTAATGTATATCTATGATTGGCCTTATACATGATGTTACTGACTGAAGAAGAAACTGTGTTTTCCTCTTAGCAACTAATCAGTATCCCCCATGTTCCAACTACAACAGAAAAAAGAAAAATCTAATTGGTTGCTAGGAGAAAATAGAAATAGTTTTTAAGTTTGACACGTCTATAAATTAATTTATTGGTTTACCATTGCCAGAAGAGACTGAAGCTCAAGCTCTAAGCCTTGCAGGGAACGTCTGAGGTCGGAGATTTCGCCCTTGGTTGACTGCACCTGTTCCACACCGACTGAAATTTCCTTCTTCAATTCACCACTCTAAAATGGTAACATATCTTGTTTTAATTACTTCTGATATTCAGTTTTGGTTATTCAAAATTCTCATTATAAAACAGACTAAAGAGAGCCTTATTAGGGGAATGTAGTACACCATGTTAGACCTAATTTGATAATGATGATGTCCAAATTTATCTGGCAACACAATCCCTTTGCCAAACAATATCTGGTCAGGATATTAATCATGATAATTCAAGTCATTACACTAAAATGAAGAATGTTGTGTGTTGGTTTTTCTGATATTCTGTTTTTATTATTTTGATACATTCAAATTGATGTTTTATATGTGAAGCGTAAAGACAGCTCTACATGGGGCAATTGTCAAAGCAAATAATATTTACGCATATTGATCAGCTGCAAACATAATTTATAAGGAAAAAGTTCAATCTGTATTAGATCAGGAAATTAACTGGCCTGGATGTTCTCATGATGATTACACTTACCCTATATCTTATGGATTGTTTCTATTACCACCTAAATAATCAGTTTATTTGGCTTGAGAACCAAATGGCCAGATATTTCAGAGTTCCCGATAAACGAATAAGTACATTTAGCAATTATATTTTACCCGACTGTGGATGAATACAATACAACAGTATTGGCACTTCAAAATTTAGCCCCACCTTACCTTTTGTGCAAACCAAGCCTCAGCATCTTTACGGTTCTTGTCAGCCAAAGCTTCATAGTCGCCTCTCATGTCATTCAGAATCTTAGTGAGATCAATTCCCGGGGGAGCATCCATCTCTACACTGACCTGGCCAGCAGCACTGCCTTTAGCAACTTGTGACTCCTAGGCATCGATAGCAAAGACATTTTAAATGAAAAGCTCACATCAAATCAATTCATATACTTAATTATAGAATGTACAAATAAGATACTTGTTTATAAAGTTAAAGTGGAGAAGTTGCTTATGGCCTGAAATCAAATTCTACATGTGATCTTTGATTTAATGCACAGTAGATAATTAAAATGCATTATGTTATACAATACATCATTTATTGTTTCAAGTAAAGAGTGTATATTATCAGCGCAGAATAATAAAAGTACATATGTGGGTATGCAGTACATCGCTTGTTATTTCAAATACATGGGATGTTGTTTCAGTGTACGGTAGATAATAAAAGTACATAGGTTGCTAGTAGTCACATTACCCTTGGTAAATAAGACTCTGTGTTAAAGAAGGTTCATATACAAAAGACACATGATATGATCTTGGTTGGTTGGTCCATACAAACATCTCTTGACAGTTATAGGCTGCAGGCACCCAGAGGTCAATTTGACAGCCTTTTCCAAAAGTTATGTACCAGATGGGCCATTTTCATATGAAGTAGGAAGACATTCATATCTTATGTATACTGAAAAGGTTTGAAAATGAAAATGGCCCATCTGGTACAACATGCCATCACCTAAAATTGATGGAAAAAAAATTCCAGCACAAGGGGCGAAGGGGGTTCTTCACAGTAAGATCAGTTAGGGTCTGGAACTCACTGCCACAGGCGGTGATTTCAGCAAATAATGTGGAATTGTTCAAGAAACTTTTGGACGATTTCTTAAGGGACCGTAATATACAGGGGTACGGGTACTCCTAGAATGAGATCCTAATAGGTTGGACTTGATGGACTAATGTCTTTATTCAACCTCAAATACTATGTAACTATGTAACTTTTGTAAAAAGCTATCAAATTGACTTCTGGGTGCCTGCACCCTACACCTGTCAAGAGATTTCAGCTTTCTTTAAGCATACTCCTCCTCAAAACAAAAATCATGGTGTCTTGCATGTATTAGCTATTTGTCAAACATGTTTCTAGCATGTGGTTTACCTCCTCATGATTCTGCCTCAGATACGCCAACTCTTCAAGCAAACTCTCAATCTGAATTTCAAAGTCTCCTCTGGACATTAGAAGCTCATCTAAGACTTTGCGGAGGCCATTGATATCAGATTCCACGCTCTGGCGGAGAGCTACCTCATTCTCATACCTTATGAAAGATTCAGATAAAATACATTTGAGAAAAAAAGCCACATGCCTGAGTATAATTTACAAGACAGTTATTTTTACAGGCTGGATTGGGTTTATTTAATACGGCAGTGCAAAGAACCCAATTTTACTGCATTTTGTTAATTGCTACTTATCTTACTGATTAATGACAAAGTAGGATATTTAATGTATGAAGTAGAATGTACTATTTGTATATGTCAGAAGACATAATGGGAACCATTCTTAAACAAAAAGTAAGTCAAGTGACAATGTCACTATTTTAAAAAACTGAAATCTGCAGATACATGCAAAACAATCAGTTAAAAGGTTCCTGTCCTACTGTGAATTCCATAAAGTTGAAGACATACAGGGTTATTCACAAAAGGGGGAAGAGTTTGGCAAAGGCAGGTGAAGTGAACGATCTAGGACAACATATATATATATATATATACATACATAATATAAATCTTTAAGAACAATCATAAAACTAAATATTAACAAGATATAGCTAATATCCCTAGGTGGGTAGTGTATAGTGAAGTTACATAAAACAGAAGTTACAAAAGTAAGACAAACAGAAGCAAACAGTATTCAAAATAAAAGGGGTAAAACGTACATAAAAATGACTTGTCCTGCCTCTGTGGTTAGATGAACGATGAAGGCCATACTTCCCACATAGATGGGACCCCTCATATATGACTACAATTTGATTGCGGATATTCATTTATATGCCTTAGAGATCAAAGTGAGTTGCCACCCACTTAGACTTACCAATTGGATGGCAGAGGCTGGCTGCTGCATATTACCCAATTAGCACCGATAGAGTTTTAATTATAACAATTATCATAAACTCATAACTGTGACAAAGAAGGGGTACCTCTAAAAGCAGCGCTATAAGGCTGCATTCACACGGGGCATTTACTGTATGTGTGTTCTGGAATTACTGCCGAAAGAACCTATGGATTCTTGAAACAGGAATCCAAGGTGTTTCCATTCAGATGTGGCTGCTGTGCCCATTCAAGTTAATGAGAGGGTGACAGCCAGTGTAATCGTGCATGGTATTATTACTTGCTGTTCGGGATAGATGATTGTCTCCATGTACAACTACATATGAACTGCCCTGGGTACAGTGGCCCCATGTGATTGGGCACACCTTGGATTCCTGCTGCAAAAATCTGTAGGTTCTTGGTGCAGAAATCCTCAAATGTAGCATAAGTCCCTGTGCAAATGTAATCTTATACTCTCAAAACAACCAATGTAGGTAATTTCCTACCCTTAAGCAGAGCTGAGACAACACCATGGCAAAAAACTTGCTAATTAGAATTGTATTTGTAATCATCACCTGGAAGAAGGACTTTTCTATTATACAATCTTCTGTGTAGTATAATGTAAGGCAAATGTCTTGAATCGAAATGTGGCTGTTTAAACAAATTGGGAAATGCATAAGGCAAAGGCTCACCTTGATGATTGGCCGGGCATGATACTCATCACAGTAAAAATGCTTTACATAATAATGCTTATCAGAAGTAGAATGTGTTGTACACGTTATTTCCAAATAGCTAAAGGTTCTTTATCTTTAATAAACTTTAACTTAATTTTAAAAAAAAGGAATAAAAAGGAAAACAACACATTTTGAATAGACCCATGCTGTCTCTTCAGGAGTGACACAACAAAAACATATTCCACCATTTAAAATAGGTCCTCCTCCCACTCAGTGAATGAGTCACATAAACTGAAACTAAAGCTTAACCCTAGCTATATCCTAGATGTAAAAAAAAAAACAATATAAGGAACGTCACCCTTATAAACATGTACCAATTCCATGCGTTAGAATCCCTAGATTTCTATTTAAAATGTATAGACCTATAAAATCAATACAATGTCTTAAAAGGTCATTAAAATACTGTGAATAAAAGAAACTACTTATCTAGACATCATCATCTGTTAGTTACAAACCACCAGTCCAGAGATATAATTACTATGGTAAATATATTGTATACCTCCCAATGGTCTACATTGAAAATTTCATAAATTAGAAGAACTGTGTGAGGATAAAAAAAAGTTGAGTTGGAACTGGCTCAATATTAACCCCATATAACCTGATGCATCAAACATAAGAGCTGGCTACAAAACTTGACGCACCGATAGTTGCAAAGAAACCCACCAGCCCAATCCATCCAGTCAGGCAACTCAAATCGATATCACAGGATGGAGTGCAGAGGAGCAACTCATGTTAACAATTCAATCATTTAAACATATTAATGGGATTGTCCATGTTTAAGGGGGATGAGTGGGAAAGGGTTATACCATGCATAAGTGCTTCAAAAGTTAACCATTGCAATTGACTCCCCTGTATAGCCATCTCAGAGGAAAACAGTTTCCCTCTAGGTTACTCATTAGATACTAGCTTCTATAACTTAGTGAATCATCCTGGAAAATGTAATTTGAACTCAGTGGTGTAAAATATATAACGATATATGCAAAATAACAATAACTTTTTTAATATCTCTAATTTCTCCCATAGAGATGACCACCCTTACTATACTATATGGAACTTAATTTAATTTATTTGAGCAAGCTGCAATGCTAACTAAATACTTACGGTTAGAAAATGTATCTAGTATGTATATAGTGATGATGAATTAAGATGCTAATGATCTTCAATACAGAGTAAACAGGAAATAAATAAATCTTTCTCGACTTCTCCCTAGTGTCTCTATAGTTCTTCGTTTTATAAAATTAGTTAATATTTATATAAAACAAGATTCACTTAAATTTCTCCATCATTTAATTTAGACCATCCAGTATTAATGTGTTAATTCTATATATCCGGTTTTCCATATAACATAATCTTTGGTAACTATTTGGTCCTGTATAGGTGTTTAGTATTCGAAAAATCTTTACTGTGATATATTGTGCAGTGTCTAGAGACACTATGTGCTTGAAAACCTGTATCAACATTAAATCTATGTTGTTTAGTTGTGTTCTCAATTTTGAACTGTAAATCCAAAATAAAATACATTCACATGAAAATTCGAGGACATTGATCACGTATTCTGAGCTATACTCAAGATGCTCCTTAATATTTCAAACACCCATATCTGACGTACTTCTATTGCCCCAACTTCTCTTGCATTTGTAACACCCATTTTATACCACATTGTTTATTTTTTCTTTCGTTTAGATGAGAATGTCATTTTATTAATCTCTTTCTTTGCTATTGCGTTTCCTATTATTTTTGCCCTTATAAATAAAAAAAACTCCTCTTTTGGGGATATTGTTTTTTAAGAGAGGATCTTCCAACAATATTATTAAGGATTCCTTTAATATCCTGATGCTGTGAATTATAAACTGTAATAAATGGTAACTTACTATTTCCCCTAATAGTGGTTACTGATTTTTTAGGAATTAAACATTGCTCTTGTGTACATTTTTTTTGCGTTAAACAAAGTCTCATTTAGTAGGGGCTCCGAGAAACTGCCTGTCAAGAAAGCTGTACAATTTGAGCCTCCCTCTCAAAAATCAAGATCTTTGGTACAATTATGTCTGATCCTTTTAAACTGTCCAAATGATAAATTAGTTATCCAAGGTTTGTGATAAGTACTATGGAGGTGCAAATGACTAATTGTAGCCACAGTTTTAAAATGCGCTTCTGTAAATTCATCTATAAAATGAAAGTAGAGGACGAGGTCCACACCGAGCTTCAGGTATGTATAAACATATTTATCTTCAGATGACCCATATAGAGAATCACAAAACTCAGTGCGAACCTGATCACCATGGCGGTCCCTTTTTATCTAAAGATATAATTTATCTAAAATGTAAAATAATTCCTAGTTAAATTAAAATCAATAGAGTCGAAGAAAATGTTTTTGTTGATCATTGGGTATACAGTATATTGACTGTGCTGCAAATAATATTGGATCGATTCAAGGTCTTTCTAATGAGGAATATTGGAATAAAGTACAGTTATATCTAACGTCAACTATTGGTAATCTGATATCCATATTATATATTTATCTTTCCTTATCAAATCAGGGGAATCTGTTATATATGATGGTAAATGCGCTACAAATTTCTGAAGCTGGATATCTACATCAACAATGTGAAGTTATAAAAATATATATTTAATATATTCAATGACAATCTATTCCCAAAATAATCAGGCGCCCAGGTGGATTCACTACAGATTTAGGTATTGTAGGTAGATGGTACATAAATGGGATATTAGAATGGATGATATTCCCAATCATTTTTATTTATAACACCCCCAGACAAAACTCTCACTTTTTAACGATTCGTAATATCTTTTTTTCTCCTTGCACACCTTTTTTAATCAATGACTAAAACTGATCTGTCCTCTAGTTCTCTCTAATGCAGATGGGCCGGTCTATGCAGACATGACGCCGCGACCCACTGCAGAGGGTGTCGCGACCCACGAGTTGAGAACCACTGATCTAGACCATTGGGAGCTATACAATATCTTTTAAATATTAATGACCTCTCTGAACATGTGGTTTATAAGAGACGATTATGTCTAGATAATTATCAATAGTGTTACATGTTTGTCTCTATTATTCCCTCTTATTTATTGTAGATCTACAACAATTTTTAATACAATCTAGGGATTCTAAGAAAATTGGTATGTGTTTATATGAGTGATGTTTGTTTTATGTTTACATTATGGAATCCTGCATAGGTAAACCTGGGAGGAGGACCAATTCTAAATGGTGAACTTTTTTGTTGTTGTATTTTTCCTGAGATGGGAGTGTTATAGTGACACTAAACTCAGAAGTTAAACCTTAAAAATGCATTCAAGTACATTAACTATTAACAGAAATGTAGCTTATTGGTATATTTCTCGGCTGTAGTTCCTCAAATCATCTCTGAATTGGTGCTGACACTGTCCTTCCTTCTGGAGGGTGGCTACTTTTGTTTTCCATGGTCCATGTGTGTGTTGTAAAGTAGTTGCCGCTCCCAGCTCATTCCTGTGATGGAATACAATCTCAATATAAATCAGTAAACTAAACATGAGATTGTAGTCCATCACAGGAGTGAGCTTGTAGTAGTGGGTACTTTGCAACACACACAGGGACCATGGGGAACAAAAGTAGCCACCCTCCAGAAGGAAGCACAGTGTTAGCATAAATTCAGAGTTGATTTGAAGATCTACAGCCAAGTGATACACAAATAAGATACATTTTTGTTATGCATTTTTAAGATTTAGCTCCTGACTTTTCACTTTAAATACCTTTTTATTTCTTTATTTTTGATTAAAGACTAAAAAATGTTTACTACTCAGTAAGGATAATTTCCTACATCTGACAAATATCATAAAGTAAAGCATTTTACCATGATGAGTATCAGGCATTTTCCAGTTTGTTTTAACAGTGACAGTTAGATACCACACCTTTTTCTAACAGCATACTACACAGAAGACCGTGGAGCTTTTTGGAAGCATGATGACTGTAAGTGTTTGGGCAAAACATTTAAAGAAATATTTTACTGGGTGATGCATATTTGTTTGATATGGATTCATTATTGAAAAACGTTTAATACTACTTTGATACTTATTTTACCATAAAGCTGGCATGTTTGATGTCTAACAACTCCCCCTCATGCCACCAGGTTTTTACAGATGCTTTTATGATGTGAACTGCACAAGATGAGGGTTATGGGTTTTCACCTTTTTTCACTGAAAGGCATTGAAGTGAATGGCACAGCAGCAATGCCCTCTGGCCGCAATAAGATCGGCCGCTCGGGAACGCGTGGCACATCAATGCCTGCGTTCCGGTAAAAAAAAATAGTTCTTGCAGCATTTTTTCAGACCGGAATGGCAGGCATTGATGTGGTTTGCGTTCCCATGCGGACAATCGCATTGCGGCCGGAGGACGTGGCTACGGTGCCATTCAGTTTAATGCACTGCTACGCCCCCTTCCGCCCCACAACAAAGTGAGCTGGCCGCTATGCAGCATGGGCAGTGAGACAGGTAAGTATTAAAGTGTATCCAATCCCCCCCCCCAAAAAAAAAAGAATTAATATTTTGCTGCCATGGATGTGCTGCCTAAATTAAATTTCCTTTTTTCAGGCTAAGAACATTTTCAGCAAGTACAGAAAGTGCCTGCTAATCTTGCCACAAATGCAATGTTCTTGTCACTTCCAGCGAGATGGAATGAAAGCAAAAAACAGCCTTGTCTTTCTTTTCAAGGTGCTAACCTCAAATCTACCATGTAATGGAGATGAATAAAGTCAATGAAAGCCTTGGCTGCCTCCATATATACACTGGAATAGTGAGTGTACCAACCAAGGAACAGGAATTGTATAAGAGACATAGGAATGTTAAATATCCTTCTACCAATGATGGTGCTGGTGGGTGTTTTAGGTCTAATTAGAAAGGACATTGAATAGGAAGGTTTTGGTTACCCTTATAGATGGGAATATGAACGACTTCATTTTAACTAAGGTTGTACTATGCAATACATGTATTCTCTGTCTTGGCGTTGACTGGGTTTTTTTAAAGGTTGGATTTAGCCTTTTTTACCAACTCATCAAAGCCATCATATGTTGACATATTACTTTGAAATAATAAAAACATGACTTACTTTAATCTGAAGTCGTCAGCTGCCAGTCTGGCATTGTCAATTTCCAGAACAATTCGAGAGTTCTGAATGGTGGCAGACAGGATCTAGTAAAAATAAAGTTTGTGTAGATTATATACCATAATACCACACAGTGCTGTCCAGTTTTCCGTTGTTTTGTACAAATAACACAACCCTGATAACTAAATGTTAATATTTGGACTGAATTGGTACATCCTCTTTAGTTAACAGAAAATTATTTTACACATAGATAAAAAAGGACAATACATATAATATCATTTTGTAACATAATCTTCACTCTTGGTGGCTTATAAAAAAAAAACCAAGTAAATACTTTCTGACAAATCTAATTCTGTAAGACCTAACGTAAGTTTTGGAATAGCAAATGTAACCTATTTTTTTTTATTTGCTTAGACACGTGTTCTGTGTTGTAAAACATAAGACATATTAAAATATATATAAAATCAACACTTTTTTAATTTTAGATAAGGGTAAGGAAGAGTTAAAACCCCGAGCAGATAATTTTTGGTTACCTTCACTTCCTGTCTTAGAAAGGCAACAGGAAATCTTTTCATAATTAACAGAATTGCTATCTCAGAGAATGATCACGTATTGTCCCCATTGGAGGGTTTCACCTTACCTCTTCCTCTGATGACAACTCTGAAATTTGGATTTCCTCTCACTTTCTGTCTCTGTGACAATGGTTTACTGGACGAATAGCGGGGGTAATCTCCCCAGTGGGGACCCAGACCGCAATAAAATGTAGACAAAGGATCAAACCCTTTCTATAAACATTTTAGAGACCTCCCCCTATACTCTATATACACTTTAAATCAATTGCTTTTTGCTACAGAGGCTGGTAAAACCTGCCTACAGTCATCTACTGTTGTCTATAGAATGTTGCCACTAACAGCATTCACCATTCCTCCAATTCCTCCACCTTATCAAGAGCCTGTCATCAAGTATTCCTAAGCCCAAACCGTTTACACAATTAATGTTAAAATGCTCTGTCTTTCTATTTCAAGATTGCTAGGTAATTGTTATTACCTATTTATATGTTATTAGCAGTTATTGAGGTTGTTCAAAATGCATTTAGAAGTCATAACCAACCTTGCTCCTCAAGTCTTCGATGACCTCAAAATATTTGCTGTAATCTTTGCCTCCAACGCCAACTCCAGAGCCAACTTGCTTTTCATACCAGTCACGGATCTTGATCTCCAGCTCAGTATTGGCTTCTTCCAGGGCCCTGACTTTTTCTAGGTAGGATGCCAGGCGGTCATTGAGGTTTTGCATGGTCTGCTTGTCATTTCCAGAGAAGCTACCAAAGCTGCTGGATTCAGCCCCTCCATATCCAGCAGAAGAGCCGAAGGAAAAGCCACCACCGGATCCACCACCATAGCCTCCTTTAAAACTTCCGCCAAAATTAGCTCCATAGCCACCTGACACACTATGTCTTGAACCTGAAGCCTGATAGGCCATGAATGATGTATAGGTGGGCTGTTGTGTTAGAAGGAATGTGTAGAAAGCAATAAAGTACAGACTTATGGTCTTCACGGTCTATATATGTACATACTTATATATATAGTCTGCAGTGGGTGTTTCATTTTCGAAATGTACTTCCTACTAGAGTTTTGTTCTCAGCCTAGCAAACACCTGTTTGTCACCTAGTCTGATAGAGTCTGATAAAACCTACAGAAATGATGCAGCCCCCTGGCTATTTGTTACAAATAAACTGGGATAAGCAAATTCCTCTTACCAAGAAGCTTGTTCTACAGTCCCTCTATCTCATTTGCCATCGGCATCACAGTATGAAGCAGCAGATCCCACTAAGGCCTCATATGCTAAGCCATTACCCTGAGCCTCACAGGTCTTCCCAACATAAAGGAATATTCATTACTCACTAAACATTCACCACAAGTGAATCTTCTGGGAACCTCCTGCCCACTTTTTTAAGCTTAATTACTAACCCCTCTATAGACAATCCTAAAATATGCAGCGGGTGTCTATTCCCATACAATAATGGGTCTATTTATTAACAATATGCAGAGCCATTGCTTAGTGCATCTCTGTGAAGTTTGTTTTGTGAGAATAAAGGCAAAAAAACGTTCATGGTATTTCTTGGTATTTTTCTTTTTTTTTTTTCAGATTAGGTGTAGTGTGATGTAATACTACATTATAACCACTAGATGTAGTTAAGGAAATACATTATTTTCTTTTCAGATCAAATCAAATGTGATTTAATACTACATTATAACCATTAAATAGTGCTGAGGACCATAGGAAATAAATACCTTCCTTCTCAGGGCCAAAAATAACATAATCCTGTAATATAGCCACTATAGAGCAGCTACAAGACTTGATGTCTATTTTCCGACTATCTAAATGGTATCTTGAAGCGAAACTGACAAACTCGCTGGGCCCTTTAGATGTCCTATAGTTCACGGTTCCTTCTATTTGATCTAATCCGTTCATGTACACACTTCCCCCATTATCTCTCAGTATGTTATGAACATATTAGCCCCGATCTTTTCCACGATTAACTATATTGGGTTGAGATTGTTTACTATCCAGACTTTGACTCCTCTGGTTCCCTCAGTAGGGACATAATATGGCGATGGCATATTCTCACATTTCTGATATTTTGTTGTTATGGTTTATCTTGAGTTCCATTTAATTTGCTTTGATCTAAAACTGATATAGGTGCAGTCTGTGTACTAGTGCCTGACTCATGTTACCTGCCGATGATTGCACTTGTTTATGTTGTATTATCCGATACGTAATAAAAATTTACATGCTGAAAAAAAAATATAGCCACTAGATGGCACTAAGGAGCAGAGAAAATTCTTATTTCCTATGCCTCTCAGCTCCTTTTAGTGGCCATAATGCGGTATTACATTACGTTCAACCTGAAAAGAAAATATACTAAGAACATTTGTTTTTTTTCCTTTATTCACACAGTATGAACATTCACAAAGATCCACACGGTGAATGGCTCTGCAAATTGTTTTCTGATCAACCTCATAGTGTTACCTAAGTGTATGAGAGAGGGAGCAGAATACGGAAAACCCTCTGATAAACCCATGTACTGCTAAATCCCCTCTCCTGCCAGAGTCACTCAGGTAGTAATTCAGACACTGCTTTTACGGCTCCAACTGTACTGGTCATGCTAAGCACCTCTTTGCGTGTTACCAGTATGATGATACAGCCACAGGACCGTAGCTAGGGGGAGAGGCGACTGAGGCACTCGCCTTGGGCACAGCCGGGGCAGGGAGAAGTGGGGCTGCACAGCCTGCAGCTTCTCTTCTGGATCCCCGCTGCTCTTCCCCGCCTGTATGGGCAGAGGCAGCGGGAAACCAAGGAGAAGAGAAGTGCTGAAGCCACCAGGTGGAGGTGAGGGAGCGGAGGATGGAGCTGTCACTTTAGGATGGCCGAGCGGTGAGAGAGAGAGTCGCTTGGCCAGGATCTGACAGCCAGCGGCTCCCTTTCTCCTCACCGCTAGGCCATCTTGAAGTGACAGCTCCCTCCCCCGCCCCCCCTGCTGGCTGCAGCGCTTCACTTCTCCTCATATCCCTGCCTCTGCCCATACAGGCTGGGGAGAGCAGTGGGGATCCGAGAAGAAGCTGCAGTCTGTGCATGGCCGAGCGGTTCAGGATGGAGAGTGGAGGATTAGTACATCTGGAGGAACATCTGTGATATTTACCGATCCTCTGTGTGCAGAGCAAACACTGGAGTGATCAGCTGATCACTCCAATGTTTGTAAACACCTAGGTCACATAGTACTGTGTCCCCAGTTATGAATGAACAGGAAGTGCTTTACATCACTTCTTGTTCATTAATGGGTTTCTCAATGGGGAATAGCACTCAGTACAGAGGCTTCTATCCATTCAGAAACTGGTTAATAGTAAATATTTTCTGAATGAATGGGAAGCCTCTGTACTTTCCATTCGTTTAGAACAGAGGCTGCGTAAAAAGAGATTGAGAATTGTGTCCTCAATTTACTTTTCTATTTTAAAAGGTAAATATCAGGGTTTTTTTAGAGCCCTAATATTCCCCCAAAACCCCCCAACAGTAAAAAAAATAAAATAAAAAATAATTAAAATAAATATTTAAAAAAACACATCCTGGAGGTGGGGTGCATGATATTCACATGATGTAACGCGGTGTTGGGTGATGTCACACGCCTGTGGGAGGGGAACTTTTTTTGTTCTTGCCTCAGGAGCAAAAGGAGCTAGCTACGGCTCTGTGCAGCCAGCTTTTGAACAAGTCTGCCTATCACACACTCAATGAGGGATGGAAGAAGTGCTGAGCAGAATGTAAGTGGAGTGCTGAGGCAGACATTAGTTGGTGAAAGGTAGGTTGAGCTGAGCTGTACGACAATGAGGGTGCAGCAGATGTTGAGTTGTGTACCTCAGCTAAAACAATGTTGCTACTCACATTTGGGATTTACTTTTCAAGAACAGCTGGTATTACCTGTATTAAATTAATGATTTGGGGTAAATCTTTTTAATGTTTTAACTTTTTAATGTAGACATGTTTTACACACGCACACGCACACACACACACACACACACACTGTTATTGTGTGGCAATCCCATTGTAGATTTGGGTCTTATGATCACCCAGGGTCAGCCAGATGGGCTGAGAGGTGTCAGGGTGCAAGGGCTTGTCTGGGTTCTGCTTGGGAAACTGGAATTGGGAGATTTCAAAGTGATTCAGGAGGGATGAGATCTCCAGTCCCGGGTCCAGGGTTTAGCAGTGCCCAGCACCCAATGATTGCACAGGTGTGCACAGCCCTTCAGGAAATGATGTTGGCTAGGGGAATTGGCTGGGAAATAGGAACTGACTGTGTTTAGTGGTTAGGAGGACTCCCCCAGAAGTCAGAGAGGAGTCAGGTAGTGTGTGTGCTGAAGGCACAGAAAGGCAGCCAGGGAGGTTGGGAGAGCCAAGAGCCTGAGGAGCTCCCAGTATAAGTGGGGGGTAGCACTACAGGAAGGACTGGTGGGTCAGTATTATTAATGATAACAGTGGAAGACAGGAGGCCACACTTGTGTTATGTTGCAAGCAGTGCATGGATGCTGTACTGAACTACCCCTTCTGGGGTATCCATTGTGTAAACTTTTGTTTAAATAAAAGTGGGCTACCAGGCCCATAAACAGAAGATATTGCAAGTGGGCTGTGTCCTTAAAGCACTGTGCTAATATTCCCAAACATCAATATATATATAATCTCAAGTGTACCGCTTGCAGATATTTATTAGCTCCCACAGAGATCACAGTACTCCCCTCTGATAATACATTAATTTGCCTTTCTTTAGAACAGTCATCTTTGTTCAGGCATTAGCATCTGCTTCCTGGACCGAGATGCTAAATCCTAGTACCTGTTCAGTTCAAGGTTCACAAATGTCTGAGACAGATCAGCCCCTCATCTTGCTACAAAGTCACAATGTTGCATTTATTGACAAATTAAACTGCCGTTGTAGATTGTCACAGCAGGAACTTATTTAGGCAGACTTGTAAAAATACTGGAAGACCCACTTTATTCAAGGAGGCCGAATGAGACTGAATCAGTAGCAGAGCTCCCTCTAGTAGTTAATGTGCAAACTGCTTTATCATATACAACAGCGAAAATCTGTTAGTTTTAGGTAAATATTGCCCGATAAAAATACACTTTTTTTTTCTTCAATTTTTAATCTTATCTCTTGTGGGAATTTGTTATAAAAAATATATGAGAAAATTGATGCACTGTATTTCCCATGCATCTCACCTACTAGATACTATTGGGCTCTGCAGGGTCACCCTCAGGTGGGATCTCGAGTGGGCTCTGCAAGGGGTATATACAACATTTTGATATGGGGCCCTGTGATTTCTAGTTACGCCCCTGGTTGCAACCTGTGCAATAAGTCCATCCGTGAAATTTCTTTGCTACTAAATATTCTGCGGTCTATTGTAAGTGCTATCATAACAAAGTGGAAGCAACTAAGAATGGTCAAACATTCCCATAGACACACTCCTAAACCTTGTGGACGCCTTCCCAGAAGAGTTGAAGCTGTTATAGCGGCAAAGGGTGGGCCAACTCAATATTGAACCCTACGGACTAAGACTGGGATTCCATTAAGGTTCATGTGCGTCTAAAGGCAGGCGTCACAATACTTTTGGCAATATAGTGTATATATATTAGATAAAGTTGAATAAAGACAAGGGTCCATCCAGTTCAACCTATGTGTGTGTGTGTGTGTGTGATTGTGTGTCTCTATTTATTTGACACTGCCCATATTTTTGTATATCATGGGATATGGATTTCGGTTTGAAAGAGCACTTCTGGAATATCATTCTGTGATGTGTATACATTTAAATGATGGCGGGAGATGACATCATTAAGGCTTCATAGGATGGTTC